ACCTAGTTTGGTTAATGAAATGTCTGCGAGAAAACAAGCAAACTCGGAGAGCACCAAGGACCCATTTTGGTTTCGGCAGTTTGGTTCTCACCAGGCTCAAGGTTGACTCAGCCTTCCATCCTTCCAAGGTGGGTAAAATGAGGACCCAGATTGTTGTGGGAAATAGGGTGACTCTGTAAACTGCTTAGAGAGGGCTGTGAAGCGCTATGAAGTGGTATATAAGTCTTAAGTGCTATTGCTATTTCAACCCTGAGCTACAAATATTTTTCTTTATTGGTAAGCTAAAGTTGTTTAGTGATTCTTCTGAGAAATAAGTGTGATTTTTAAAGGCATATGGAATGCAGAAAACTAGATCCCATGCAATACACAAAAATACTGAAAAATACTGTAGTGGCAATGCAAAATGTATTCTTATATGATCAATAATTACTTAAGAATAGAGATAATTTGGCATTCAGGTTCTTCCTTAAATAACCCCCCTTTTACTTGTGAATGAACAGTTTTTATGGTAAACTCTAGATAAATGAAAGGAATAGTTATTATTCTGTATATATTGATATATGACCTTGGTTAAAACCTTGATATGGTGTTGAGCAATGTGTCTATGGAAATTCTCTATCATCTAGGTCATGGCTATCCCAAAGGTGCTTTTCAAAAGGTAACTGGACTTTCTTGGGTTTTCTTCCCCCTGGAAAATGTTTTGCTTCTCATCCAACAAGCAAACGTTTTCAAGGACAAAACCCCCAAGAAAGTCCAGTTGCCTTTTGAAAAGCACCTTTGTTGAGCAATGTCAGCCTCATGAAATGTTTGCGTCTTCTTTATTTTAGGGGTTATGGGGACTTCCGTCTTTGTCCCCCAAAGTCCAGCCTTCAATGCCTGGCTGTGTAGGTTCTCCTGCTGTTTTGATGGCACTCTTACGGGAATCCCTGACATTAACATTGATGTACCAGTAGACCAAAAAAAAAAAAAAAGATACCAAATTAATTTGCTTTCAATGTTACGCATATCCCAACACATCACTGCAGTATTGCCCACTCATACTTCCCATGATTTTGATCCGTTTCCATTCTTTTTATAGTTTAGTTCTAAAATAGAGGAGAAAATCAATCCTAGAAACATGCTTTTTTTTTTTCTCTCAACAAACAATAAAAAAATCTGAGAATTGCTCTTTTTGAGCAATTGATTCTTTGTTTTCTTCCTATGGAGGAAATTTATATATTTGTGTCTTTTATTGTTGCACTGGCATAAAAAGAAATCTAACTGCAGTTTCATAATCTTCTGATAAACCATTTGATTCATAAATTCTTAGAGGAAATGACTGTCACTTAAAAAAAAAATCAAGTTGTTCAAATTTGAAAACAGAAAAACAAAAAAAATCTTGTGATATTTTTTCTTCTTCCCTTGACCTATTTCTACTTATAAAGAGGTTATCTTGAAGCCATCTCTGAGAATTTTAGCATTAGCACGGTTGGAATAAGAAGTGGAAGATTAATGGAGGCAGTGTCACAAGTCAAGGTAAAAATCGTTTCATGTCTAAGGAAGTGTGAAGCACTGCTATTTTGCATCAACAGATGAAAGGAAACCACAGTTAGCAATATTACTAGATCTGTTATAGACTAAGTGCTACTGGTGAACAGTAAAACACAGTGCTAGATTTAGCACTTTGTTCTTCAGGAAACGAATACTTTGTATTTCTATCACTGTTTAAATGAGGAGGCAGCTATTATAAGTTAGTTTTATTCAGGCTTTTCTTTGTTGTTGAGCAACAAAATCTACAGCTTAAAATCATGGACCTGTACAATAAAAGAAAAAATCAGAGGCATTTAACAATTGATATCTTTTGTCCTAGGCTTATATTTGTATCAAAAAAACCAAACAAACCCTGAGTTAAACTGGGTTAAGAAATTCATTGGGAAGTTTTCTTGGCATGTTAAGAAAATATTTGTTATTTTGATCTCCTGCTTTCTAAGATTAATTCTTCTGCAAAGTTTTCTGTTTTGAATAAAAAGGTGCACAACAATTTTTATAATGTATACAATTACAAAGAATGATATGCTATTTAGCATATATTTAACTTTACCTAATACAGATATGAATGGCTAAGGAATATGGAAGGTGTAACATATTCAAATACAAAGTTGAGCCATCTGTTTGCATATTTAAGACAACTGATATAGCTTTACTTGAAAGATATGTGGAAAATTCTTTTTTTTAAAGATATATTTTAATAATTTGAATAACAGTAATCACTGGAAAATATTTTGCAGTCTAATGTGCACTGCTAACATCTTGACAGATTTATGAGATCTACATTTGCCTCTTGCTTTATTGATAAATATTTGGCTGTGCACATTTAGCCTAGAGAAATGGTTGGGATGACATGGGGTTTATTCATATTAATCTTTCCAATTTAAAAATAACATTCTATTTTTTTGCAAGGGAGTCTTGTATTCCTCATGAAATTATTACTTGAACTCAAAACAATATTAGTCTTAGGCTAATTGTTTTAATGAAAATTAATAGTCATATTTATGTTCAGACACTAAAATCCATTGATTTTTATGGGGCTTCATCCCAAGGTGATGTTCCAAAATGTTATCAGCATTCTAAATATATTTTCTAATTCCAAGAATCCCATCATAGAAAGAGGTTTCTAGACCAGCGATCGCCAACCAGTGGGCTGGGGACCACTGGTGGTCCATGAGAAAATTTTGGTGGTCCGCAGAGAAATGTCACCCCCAAAGCAATTAATCCAGGCTGTGTGGGAACACAAAGCTGTGCCGCCCATATGGCCTATGGGAACACAAGGCTTGCATCGCAAACAACATGAAGTAGTGAGGGGAGGGGGGGAAAGGGCAGAGGGGGGGAAGCTGCCCCACACGCCCCATGTGCCTCACCTGGCCACCAGACTGTTTCTTTCTGTTTCTTTCTTCTTCTGCTTTTGGCTGCACACAAGGAAAGCAGTCTTTCTTTCTGTCCCCCAAACTCTGCCAGAAATGAGTCTTTGGGACCCTGCAAGGCATCCTGCTCCGAGAGTCTGCACCGGCGCAACAAGTCCCACAAAGATTAATTTCTGGCAGAGTTTGGAGGAGAGAAAGAAAGACTTCTGCTGCTTTCCTTGCATGAAGCCAAAAGTCTCTCTTTCTCTCCCCGAGAATGGAGCTGGAGCTGGTATTCTGCGATCCCAAATAAAGAATGATCAATCGGGATGAAAATGGGGTGGAGAATTTTCCTGCAGACTTCTTTGGAGATTTTCCCAGGGTCTCTGGTCTGCAGGATTTAAAATTATGAGTTTGGTGGTACCTGAAGTCCAAAACATTGACGACCCCTGTTCTAGACCACAAAAATCACACCTTTTCGGACATCTCGATAATATGCTTATTACAAGGTTGCCCTGTCTGAGATACAAATGAGATACAAATCAACACTACTTTAACTCTTTTATCTAAACAGGCTCATGAGCACAGTGTGTTTTTTGAGTTGTGTTTCCTTGATGCAAGGCATTTATGGTCCTGTTATAAAATTTTGGCAATAAAAACACTTAAACACATTAAGTTGGATCTTTTGCCAATATGATAAGCTATGGAAAACAAAGCAAAAAGAAATGTGCTATACCTCAGTGTTGTGCTTGCCTAGACAAGCTCCTGCAGTTTCCTTGGTAATGTTTGTGGAAGGGGTTTGTCCTTTTCTCCTTCCTAGGACTGAGAGAGAGGTGGCTTTGGGCCTCAGGCAGAACTAGAACTCCTGATCTTCTAGTTTCTAGCCAGTTTCTTTAAAAAATAAACCCAAAGACTTAGATACAGTACATTTACACAACTACACCTTCTAAGAATGTTAAGTAGCACTTGATTTCTAACAGTGTATATAACATTTGTAATGTTAAGAGGAAGAATTCCGTACAATATGGCAAGAATGGATGTGAACACAAAATGTTCTATGAGGGAAAATAAACATTAAAAAGGGTATATACTGACTCCTGCATTGCTGTATCACTGCAATTTGCCAGCCTATAGGATAAGCAGAGGGAACAATTTTTTTATTTTTCTTCCCACTTCAGGCCAACACTTAGGTCACAACTAAATAGAAAACTAGTTATTTTTTCCAATGGCCTTGTTTCACACAGCAAGGGAGTAGATTCCTGAACTATGCCATGTCATATTGCAGGGATACACTTGCATTATTTTAGAAAAATCCTTATGAATTTAGAATTAATTTTGTGAACCTGGGACATAATTCAGCTAAACTTGAGTACTTTTTCTCTCATGGTTTTAGTGCGAAAGAATTCAGGAGAATATTTTCAGTTGTTCTACTGAAGTAAGTAGAAATTCAAATAATTTTGCAAATTGACTAGGATTGTCACATTTTAGCCATGATTTGTCTTAACCATGACTTGTAGAACACTTACAGTGGCTACAATCACATGCTAAACTATACATAAATCAGACAAATTAGGTGATGACACAATACATGTGAAATCAGATTCTGCATCTTTTTAATAATGTATGTGACCATATATTGTGAAAGATAAAAATATGTACATTAGAATGTCACTTACACCTCCAATTCCATTGCAAAAAACAACCCTGTGAATTAATTAATGTTTTCACCTTTTCATGAATCAACAACAATCACCAAACAAGATGCATTTCTTTCAATTTTATATCTTAGAAAATTGATACGATTTGCACCTTGATCTGATCACCATCATTATTAGGAGTTGCATTGTGCCAAGACTGTTTGCTCAAGTGCTGTATCTTGACCAACAATAGCTATCAAGAACTGGCATTGGGGATCATTCCAGCCTGAAGTAAAAAGCCATAATTTGAAATTGGTACTTTTGGCATGGAAAGAATCCATTTTACCAGTAAATACAGAGCTTATCTACAAAAGACAAAAATTCGATCTAAGCAAGATTAGAAATAATACAACATCTGAAATCAGAGAAAATCACTAATGTTACAAATACCATAATTTAAAAGTCTGTACTCCCCTTAACTTTAGCCATTACATAAATATTGTTGCAAAGTATTTGTGTCTAATTATTAAAATTTAAACTACTATTATTGAAAAGCATTGCATTTAAAAAAAAAGTCTATATGAAAATCTATTTAAAAACCAAATTATATAGTGTTACAAATGAAAGTCATTATGATTCTAAGACATATAATCCCAAGTTAGAAAATTGGTCAAAGGAGAAAACAAAGAGCAGATAAAGTACTAGATTGAAGCAGTCCTCTCTGATAAATTAGATTTCTAATTCTAAAGGTATCTTATAGGCCAGTTCTAAATTGATTTTTTTAACCGCTTTATGATTCTGGTATTTAACTATGTTGCATGTGTAGGGATTGACTCCAAGATTGGATGTAGAACATTATTTAATTTGGACCTGAAAATCTGCAGCAAATATATAAAAACATATACTATGATAACACCAATCTGTTCGTGTAAAAATGTCAGTAGCTTTGCCACTACCATTGATCAGTAAGTCGTTACATATTTTATACTCTGCAAAAAACTTAACATTATTATCTATTTATTCTTGAGTTCATGCTATTGTGGTATGATTGATGCAACCACTCAAGCAAATTATTTAGGAAAAATTCAGCCCAACTCACAGCAGGTCTGTTAGTCAAAATTAGAACACGTCACTACAGAAAAGTTGCTTGAAGAATTTGTGAGTCATTTCACTTCAGACACTTCTTTCAATCTTCTACTACTCACAGTTATGGAACTTATTAAATTTAGAGGACATTTAAAATCTATCAAGACATTTGAGATATTTCCAGATGAAGACATCAGAGAGAAGGGAACAAGAAATTCTCAACTGCTCTTCAATCTGTGCTTCAGCCTTTCAGACAGAGGCAATGGACTCTCAAGCCACATATTCAAATCACTTCTGGTCTCCTGAAGACAAGGATCATCTCCACATTTGGAGAGGCTTGGAGACTTGGAGAGAGGTAGAAGCAGACGTTCTTCTGTGGATAAATCAGTGTTGAGTAATTTAAGAGCGTGCTCAACTTTCTCTTTTGGTTCTGGCTGAATCTCAAATGCCAATTTCTTGTTGTTCCTTTTGCCGCTGCACTTATCCTTCAGCTGAACTGCATGACTCTTTATTTGCTGTTTTGAGATCTTATGACCCTTCCACCTGCCCTCCACATTTTCACTATCACTGTCCTCAGCAGGATAACTATTTTGGCACACGCTCTTCTTAAGTGAGCTTTTCATGTTTCTCGGCACAGATTTCCCCCCGATTTGAGAGTTATCTAGGACTTGATTTGACCTAAAATGCAAAATTTGCTGTTTGTTTTCTAAGTGGCTCACTTTTAGCTTTTCAGTGCACAGCCTCAAAGAACTTCCTGAATCCTTGACTTTATCTGCTGCAGTTTGTGGGTTATAACTTTGGAGATCTTCTTTAGAGTTCTCTAAGCTTAGACCCCGCAGATGTTTTTCTAGTAACATCACATTTTCAATTTCCTGAATGCTGTCAGGAAGAAATGAAAATTCCCCTCCAGGGCTAGTTGTTCTCTTTATCGGTTCTTGCAATTGTACGGCGTTTAACAAAGACACATTTTTAACTTTGGGGAAAGCTTCCAAACTTTCCCTAGTGGTTCGATCTTTTAAAGACAAATCATTCATCTCTTTAGGAAAGCCTGTGTTTGAAACAGAGTAATCTACACCAGTGATTAGATGGGGATCGTGTTCTGCAGAATCTGAATACTGCGTGAGGATATCGGTTGCTTTACTGTGTGGTGGAGAGCACTGACTTAAGGAAGACTTAGATTCTGAATACCAAGGAAAATTAACATTTCTTGGAGAAATGCTGAAGGAGGTCCCTTCCCAGTCAATGCCACTTAGCTGCAGATCAGTATTTGCAGAAGAAGCCACAAGCTCCTTAGCAAATAAGTTTGTTTGTGAGATTAAAGAATTAGAAGGTTTATATTGATTTTCTGGGTTTCGTGAAGCAAGAAAGAAGTTGCTTGGCTTTCCTAATGCAGTAAAAAAATCTGCAGAGTCTGAAAAACACAGAGATTCGCAGCTCTTTTGGGGAAATTCTTGCAGGTCAAAAACAGGCAAATCAGATTTTGAAATTTGGCTGAGAATGTTTTCACACGCAGGTTGCAAGTTCAGGTCTGAAAAAGTATCTTCACTGTTCCCTGCTAAGCCTTCTTTCACTTTACTTTTCTTCTTACCTAAGGCAACAACAACAATAAAAAAATACGTGAAGAACATCTTGTTAAAAACAATCTTTAAAAAAAATGAGATACGAAGTTAAAAAAGCACTGTGTTTTTGATTTTGTAATCAGGCAATTGTGGGAGAAGTGGGTAAGCTAAATGGCTTCCATTTAAATCTAATTTGTGTGCAGAAAATTCTATAGAACAACTGGCCATTTGACAGGCATACGGTGACTATTTAAGATGTGAAACATAATAAAACAAAACATGCAAAGTTTTCAGCTTACTTTTCTTTTTTTCTTGGCCAATTTTCAACCTCTCCATTTGATACAAAGCAACCACTTCAGGATAGGCAGCCTCAAATAGCGTTGACTCTTCTATTGTTATTAGAAAGGGATCGGCCGGCTGATCTTCAGTTGTAGCACAGTAATGATCTGGAACAATGAAGCAGAGGCAGAGAAACATACTTTTACTAGGTAACTACAGGTGATTCCCTTAATTACCATTTTCATATGCACTCCTTTAGAAAAAGGAACATATAACTGTTTCTTTGGATTGGAATATGTTACCCTACAGAACCTACAGCTGAGGCTACCGTGTTTAACCCTTGCTGTGTAGACCCTCCTTAATTTGCATGCAATCCACAAATATCTGCCCCCCACTTTTTGACAAATTCTTCAAACAACCATATTTGCGCACCCCTACCCACAACACGATGGAAAACTGATTTCGCCTTATGAGAAATTATAATGTAACTGTACAATGTAGAGGGCACGCAATATATGCCTGAGAAGTGAGAAAAAGAAATTCTTATTTTAAATGCTGTCTTTTTCCATTGTGCATATGACATTTTCATATAAAAAGTCAGGATCGGTCATTCATGGTCAGCTGGCAGATGGTCTCAAGAATTTTAGAAGGAAAAATTCCCAGTTCTATCTGAAGTTAGTCAGAAGTCGACCTGGGGTTACTAGGCTACAGAAACCTGTACCAAGAAAGGGACAAAACCGGAATGACTGTGTGAATTTAATTTCAAAGCAGTAATTTTATGGAGAAAAAAGACTCCCAAATCCAATGTTGACATTATTGTGTTTTTATTTCTATTATAGTTTCATTTAATTTAATATTTACACGTTGTTAAACAGGTCTCCTATATTTGTTTCTTTATATCCCAGCTTTATTATTTTTACAAAGAACTCAAGGTGGTGAACATATAAAAAACACATTTTCCTCCTCCTGTTTCCCCCACAATAAAAGCCCTGTGAGGTGAGTTATGCTGAGAGTGAGTGACTGGCCCAAAGTCACACTGCTGGCTTTCATGGCTAAGGCAGGATGTGAACTCAGATTCCTGCTTTCTAGCCTGGTGCCTTAACCATTAGACCAGGGGTGTCAAACTCGTGGTGTCACATGACATATCGTGACTTCCCCTTCACTAAACTGGGCATGGGCGTGGCCAGTGTGTGAAGCATCTGGCCCATGGGCTGTGAGTTTGACATAGGCTGTACAAGTAACCCTTGACTCATGACCACAGTTGAGCCCAAAATTTATATTGCCAAATGAAGCATTTGTTAAGTGAGTTTTGTCCTGTTTTACGATCTTTCTCGATGCAGTTGTTAAGTGAATCACTGCAGTTGTTAAATTAGTAACGTGATGATTAAGTGAATCTGGATTCCCCATTGACTTTGCTTGTCAGAAGGTTGCAAAAGAGGATCACATGACTCAGGGACTCTGCAATCATAAATATGTACCAGTTGCCAAGCATCCAAATTCTGACTACCTGATTGTGGGGATGCTGTAACAGTTGTTAGTGTGAAAAATGGCCATAAATCACATTTTTCAGTGCTGTTGTAACTTTGAATGGTCACTAAACAAACTATTATAAGTTGAGGACTACTTGTACTATACATGAAGAAGTATTATATTTCTATTTCTCAACATGCCCACCTTTTAAGAAGTTTCTTACTCCAGTTTTAAATTGTACTGGAACGTACCCTTCTGGTATGCCCAGCAATGAGTACTAACCTGGCTTTTGCCATGCAATTTCAAAACAGGGAATTCCATTTCTAATCCGTGTCTTGATTACCCTGTAGAAACAAAAGTTAAAGTCCTAATATTTGTGTGCAAAAATGAAATCAGGCATTTAAGGAGCCACCATGTTTGACCATCCTGTAGATAAGGGCTGCTTCCATGGTTCTTTACCATTCTGTAGCTATGCCCATGAGTTGGAGTTCTGCACAATTGTGTGAGGAAACCATGTACCATTTCTCTGTGTCTCCTAATCAGCTATAGCTCTCTCATAATCATGATGACTACACAGTTGTAGCAATGTGTGTCAACAAGCATGAGGGAGCATCATAGAGAAGAGATTTCCATACACCTGGCTTGCTTAGAATGCCCCTAGAAACAGGGAGACAATGCAATTATTATCTTTGCATTATTCGGCATTGATAACTTAAAACCTGACTACCATTAACTCATATTTCCTTCCACGTTCCGTAAATGTCAATTAAGAGTACCTCAGACCAATGTTCCATAGGCAATGGATGATAGCCACAACCTACACTTTCAGGATGATCATTTATGTTAGTTCACATGGCCGAGCAAGATAAATATGAGTTGCGCTCTAAGTTTCCTTACACAGATAAAGCCTTGGTGGCACAGTGGTTAGAATGCAGTATTGCAGGCTGATTCTGCCAACTGCCAGCAGTTCGATTCTCACTGGCTCAAGGTAGACTTGGCCTCCCATCTTTCTGAGGTCAGTAAAATGAGGACCCAAATTGTTGGGGGAAATATGCTGACATTTGTAAATTGCTCAGAGACTGCTGTAAAGCACCATGAAGCAGTATATAAGCTTAAGTGCTATTGCTAGTGCTACATGAAAGGCTTCTTCGAGGTTCCCCTAGAATTTTCCTGCTCAATGTATCTCGCTCTTGGGATCACTGTGGACAGCAGCCTTTATCCTGCTGTTCTTTAGCAGTCTTTTGAAAAATGGGCCAAAATCCAAAACTCATGTTGATACTATAGAATTTCTAATCTTTGAACTGGAATCTTCAGCAGTTTCAAATGCTGTTTTGAATTGTGGATTTTTTTTCCCCCTTGAATCTATGTAATGTATTTCAACAGACACACCAGGGAGTCTTAGCTACATCAACAAAACGTTAACTCCACTGGTGGCATTCCTGGACTAACCAACAACAAAGGAAGAGGAGGCTTTAGGAACTAATTATAGAACTAATTACCTCACTGGCTGTGTTCAAAGCACAGTTAAACAGATATCTGTCAAGGTGCTTTCATTTGGACTCCTGCTCTGATCAGCAGGTGGATAGCCTAAATAATTCCTTCTAATTTTCAATATTTGGTCCTGAAAACACTGCAGTATGCAGGCCATTTTGTTCAAAAATGAAAAATGCAGAATCAGGAGGAGAGGCACAGAACAAAAAATATTTTCCACTTCCAGATATAAAACAAAACAAAGGGTGAATTCTAATTAAATTATAAATTGAGTTACCGCAGGGCCTGCAGCTGCTTTGGATCAGTATGGCCAGACTTCTTTCTGTTCATGTCATAGTAAGTCAGAAGGCTACACAATTTCTCACAGGCGTACTGCTCGGTCCAGTTCATTTTCTTCACAGCAAACCTCTATTTGAAACATGTTGGGAAATCACAAATACAACACAGATGGAAATAGATCTACTGAACAGCAGCAGCACTGATTCTCCCTGAAGACTTGACGCATTTAGTTTGAAATGTCACGAACTTTTTAAAAATGCCACAAGGACAGAACGGTCACCTTAAAGTAATTTCCAAACCAAGTAGACACAGAAATATAAAGCAGGGGAAACCAAGGGAGCTGTATGAGGACAACCAGACTGCAAAATCCACTGAAGCATGTTCTCAAAGATGCTTTTTCAAGAGGGCAATTGGACTTTCTGGTTTGTCTTTGAAGATATTTCACTTCTCATCCAAGAAGCACCTTTGGGACAACCATGACCTGGATGACTGAGAATCTCCAAAGACATGTAGCCATATAAAGTGTTTAAATAAAAGAATACATAACATATGTACAGACTTTCAACTGTTGACATTACGAAAGTAGTCCTCTAGTCAAAGAAATCACACTAAGTTCTGGGACACCTGCTCCAACCTACTGATCTTGGAATAAGACCTACAAATGTCGTATCTGGTTATTTACCTGAACTGGGGATATTGACATATCTCAGTATAATTCCATCAGCACAAACTAAAGCACTTGCATCCCTGCTTGTTTATGTGGTAGAACAGCATGCAGTTCTACACTGAAAGCAATTTCCCGGAAAGGGATCAGCTCCCCTTCATTGTATGTCTTAAAGCAGAGGCTGTACAACCATCTCTTGGGAATATTTTAATTTGCTTCCCTTTACTAAGAGAAGGATGGTCTTAATGGACTAAACTGTATTCAACATTGAGAACATTTTAGCATGCAAGGTAGTGTCCTAATACTTACTTGAAAAGATAATAAATTTGGCCTTTGGCACCCACTTAATTTCACTGGTTTGTCTTTGCTGATGAGATATTCGTGGATAACCTTAGCAGAGAAAAAGTAAAAAACAACAACAAGGCATTTATTATTTATCTCATTTATATAATACTTGAGGGAGATAGTTATAGGTTTAAATGATTCTATTTATGCATGCATGACTTGTAAAATTACCTCAGGAAAGGGAAAACCTTCACATGCCTTGGCTTTTCTGTAAATGAAATATACACATCTCAGATCTATGAATGTCACAGAGGTCTTTCTGAAGCAATTCAGAGCAAATTATATGAAAATACACCTACTTTTTAACACCTTCCTCCACTAAGCTCTGTTGCTGCTCTGACTCAGAAGAGTGCCAGTCACAGGGGCAGCAGTAGCTAGTATCCAGGGGCTCACAATATCCCACACTACCACAGATACGACATCCCATGTCCTCGTGATCTTTATAAGAACCTACAAGAAAAAAGGAAGAGGATTACAGGCGAAATATTTTTCTTAAAAGACAAATCTGTCCCATTTTTTTATATGTAATATATGTATAATGTATATAATGTATGAATTGCAGAAATGGCAAAAATGAAGTGCACCTTTCCTTGTTGAAGCAAAAGAAATGATGAGAAATTTATTTATTTGACCTATAATCCATTTTGATTTAGGGTGATATGTAGTGCTTCCTCCTCCTTTCCCCCCCCGCAATAGCTTTTCTATGAAGTAGGTGAGGTTGAGGAAAAGGCACTCGGTGACTTTCCTTGGCTGAAGGTAGCTTACACATTGGTCACCTACTCTTAGTCTAATAATGTTATACTACACTGTTTATTGGGACAAAATGTTACTGGTTAAGTTAAAACTTTTCAAGTTAATGTTCAAGTGGGTTCACATAATGGCTTGCTTGGTTTGGGCTTAGACGCTGTTGAACTTAGCTACTGTGGCTGGTAAATCATGCTTTAGGCTAGGGCATTTAGTCTCCCAGGCCTTTTGAAATAGTTGCTAATGAACAATCATCTTTTTGAGGTGGCATATGGACTATATGACACAATACAATACTAATTTTATTAACAAGTATATTTAAAATAAAAGGGTTGTATTGGTCGTTGTTCTGAGTTCCTATGCTTTCTGAAGTAAGAGCCTTACCATACTTATTAAAGTATTCAAATAAATACACATGCACTTCATTTAAACATATGGTTTAGCAATGAGTTATTATTTCATACATAAGATTCAGCAAATTACAATTAAGCAGATAATGGCTCAGAGTGGTGTGAAAATCTAATAATTCAGATACAAAGTTAAAGAGAAATTTTATTTTTTTCTGCCAAAGTGTCTGAATGTTATCAACTCAGGAAACTTTTTGTAACATAATCTAATCTGCTGTTTTGTATTCTTTGAAGCCTCTGCACATAACTTTTTCAATGCATCTGGATAATATATTATTTCCTTTTCTAGTCTGAGAGAAACAGAATTTTATTCTTTTACCTGAATCTGATTTGTGCTTGCTCTGAAAACCAGAGTTGGATTGTCAAATGAGAGAAGAGAATTCACTTATCCAAAGGTAACTAGTTTAGTTTTGTAGCTCCATACCATTTTAGCATTACGAGTCTTGTTAATTCATAATTCTACCATATGGCAACAGGCATAAAACTGTAGCTTATTGTTGATTATGCAGGAGCCCAACAGTTTGCTGCAGCATCTGACAGTATATAAACTCCAAATCAATTCTACCACATGGAATTGCTTTGACCAGGGGCTGCAACTGTTTTCTTTTCAACAGACAGGAGATGGTGATCACAGCTCATCATCATGATAAGTCTTTACACACCAGGGTGCTCAATTCAAAGGGAGACTTCAATACACGGAATCTATTTTCTGAATTGGCTCACCTGGATGATGGCACACAGAACAGTGAAGCGGTTTTTTAGCTATCGAGACTGAGACTTCACCCGACTGGAAATGGTCTTTCCAGGACTCAAATCTAAAGCAATATTGAAACGGTGATGAATGTATAGCACTGAAAAATAATCACATCTCTATATACAATGCATATACGTTGGCACATTATAAATCTGAATCGTGTGAGGAATTTTCTCCCTGAGAAAGGAAAAAATACGAAACACAGTTTAAAAATAACATACCTTTGCAGTAAACTCTGTCCTTTCAAAGTTTTGATCAACTTTAAAGCCTGTTCTTTTCCTACTCCAGGAACTCCCTTTGAGAACCAAGAGAAGAAGTATTTTGATAGTTTAGATAAATGTAGTAACGAACGTCACCAAATAAATAAAACATGGACTAGCTAAAAAATTATGTTAAAGAATATTAATTGCAGTTGAGTTTGATTGCAAGATATCAGTACCATTGGAGAGTGCTTTGCAAATATGTGGCACCCTATTTATTTAATGTACTTCTATCACACATATCCTTCCATGAGCTCAGGATGGCTCAGATGTAGGCAGCATGTGGCCTTCATTTACATACTGCTGAGATAATATTTTATAATCAGCATGACTAATGCTGTGGGATAATAGAAGTTGCAGTCCAACAATCTTGTAACGGCGCCACCTCTTGCTTATGTGGCTTAGCTCTCATTTTATGTTCACACACAAAAAAAGAAAACTCTGTAAAGCAGTTCAGTTTGAAAGGCAATGAGTCCTAGTTCTAGAGAAACTTAAAAGAATAAAGGGCAAATAGGCAAAAATAAGACAAGACATTCAAGGGGAAAGCAAATACTGTCCCACAAAAGCACACCGATAATAAGAATGATATATTGCCACAAGCAGTGCCATCAGTTACACTTTGACAGGGTTAAAGATGCCTTTGAGATGCCTTTTAAAACAGAATGTGCAAAGAATTATAGCCAGAAATATTTGTATTATACTCTTATGTAATCTGTTATGTAGACGAGTGTGTTGCTGAAACAGTTTTAAATCGGTGCACTCTTCTGGGATTGCTAAGAGACCTAAACCAAATTGGCCTAGGGTAAAGGGAGGGCAAAGATATTTTGAAATGAACAGCTGGTAGCTAAGTCCTAAAAAATATAGCTGAAACAGCTGTGTCAACTTGACAAAAACACATACGGGTAGTCCTTGACTTACGACTATAATTGAGCCCCAAATTTTTGTTGTTAAGTGAGACATCTGTTAATTGAGTTTTGCACAACCATTCCACAACCTTTCTTGCCACAGTTGTTAAGTGAATCACTGCAGTTGACAAGTTAGTAACCTAGTTGTTAAGTGAACCTGGCTTCCCCATTGACTTTGCTTGTCAGGTTGTAAAAGGTGACCACATGGCCTTGGGACACAGCAATGGTCATAAGTGGAAGCCAGTTGCCAAGCATCTGAATTTTGATCATGTGATCATGGGCTATGAAAAATTGTCATAAGTCACATTTTTCAGTGCCATTGAAACTTTAAAAGATCACTAAATGAACTGTTGTTAAGTTGAGGACTACCTGTACTGGGAAGGCTGTCAATTCCTTTCTTTCCTCTGAAAAAGCAGAGCTGGACTATTAGGGTTAAAAGATCACTTCACATTGAAGAAAACCCAGACAGAATCCAGCAGGAAGCTTTGCCGAAACCTAATTTCTTCCACAAAGAAACTGAGCTTCTTGGTTTGTGGTGAGAGAAAGTCTTAGAGCCAGTCATTCCTCCTCCCTGAACACAGAATCACTTTCAAGCAAGTATCCTTTGGCATGAAAAAAACATGGCGGATGAAAAATAAATCCATTGTATAGGAAACTTGTATAAGAAAACATTTAATGTAATAGAGTAATATAATCCTAGAACCTTCATGATTTTTGGTTTGTGTTTATGGTTTTAATTATGTGTTTTATTGATACTGTTTTTATTGTTGGCTGGAAACTGCCAAGAGTATGATATAAGTTAGGTGGCTATCTAAATATTTTAAATAAATAATGATGCCAATAAGTTTTATAATCTATGTCTTTCTGTCTTTCTCTTTTTGTCTCTGTCTGTCTATCCTATCTATCTATCTATCTATCTATCATCCCAGGAGTGTCAAACTTGATTTCGCTGAGGGCCGCATCAGGGTTCTGTTTGACCTCAGGGAGTTCGGGGGCCATGGCCTGCTCGATGTCACTCGTGTCGAGGGTGCCTGTGGAGCACTCTGCCAGCGAAAACAGGCTCTTGAGCCAGCTCCATTTTCAGCTGCGATGGCCTCCTGCAACCCTCTGCCAGCAAAAACGGAGCTCAGAAGGGCCATGCATGGCTCTCCTGAGCTCCATTTTCGCTGGCAGGGGCACTGCAGGCCAGTCTTTCACTGTTTCCAGGGTGGCCCTGCAGGCCAGATCTAAGCACCCTGCAGGCCGGATCTGGCCTTGAGTTTCACACCCCTGATCTAAACTGATTATTTCGTTACCTTAGGAAGATAATCACAGCCAAGCAGAATTGCTAATCCGATCAGAGATTCTCGGCTGCAGCCTAGTTTCTCTTCAATATCAGATATCAAGTAGCAGTCAACATGTGGGTCCTGTGCAGAATAGAGAACGTTAGTGACACTCCCTCTTAATGCTTCATCATTTTTCATATCTTTACTAGTAATACCACAAACATTATTAAATAAGTTTGAAAATATGGTACTTGCTCTAAGGAAAACTGTATCTTGTCAAACCATGATTTGCAGACATCATGGTGTCTGGACAGAGGAGGTGATCCATTCCAACAATCTAGGATGAACAAGCTGAGCATTTCACAAACCTTCTTCCACAGACCACAGAAAAGGCATACAAATACGTTTATTCAAAATTCAGTCCTACTGAATTGAAAACAAATCCCCAAGAGTATTTCATATTATAGTCACAAAGAGTAAACAAAGGTGGCATGGGAGTGAGGTGAAAATATTTTTCTGAGTGAGAGAGACAAAAGCTATCAGAGATTCAAATTATTATTTTTTTAAAACCGAAGTAGCAAGATAGACTTATTTGATTAGAGAAAGGCCAATAACCACATTTATTAGTGACTGGAAACCCCTTATGGATTTTTTGCTGTAAAAAGAAAAAAATGATTTTGTGATTCATGGGTTTGATTAGAATGTGTCTATTATGGAAAGAAAAAAATTATGCTGTAATCTTAGAGTGGGTAAAACAAAAATGTATTTGAAACAGCCATTAAGAAGATTGAAAGCCACTTCTTTATACCTTTTTATTTTATTTTCCTTTCCTTTTTTCTATTCCTTCTTTCTCTTCTTTCTTCTTTGTATTCCCCCCACCGCCCGCGCTTATTGCTTCCCTTTTCTTGCTTTTCTCTTTCAAAATGCCTATTGCTTATTTAAAAATAAAAAATACACTTTAAAAAAAAGTAGCACATATAAAAAATAAAGCCCAGTAAATTACCTTGACGTTCATGGTAAAATTTCGATATACTGTTTGAGCGCCGTAAAGGAAGATATCTCCGTCATTGGTGATGCACCCATCCACATAGCCATTTGCATTCAGGTAAGCGCACATTGCCTCTGCTTCTCCAGCTGCTTGAATCCATGGGATTCCCAAGCACTCCAGCAGTTCAAGGCACTGAAACAGGAAAAAAATCCCAATGGAGGAAGCAATGAGAAATACTATTGGGGTGAACAATTGCTCTTCTGCTCCCTTTCTAAAAACATTTGAGGTAGCCAAGACCACGTTGGTATGGTTCCTTGACAAATTTTGGTGGCAAGATGCATTAAGATTGGAACGGGCTGTACTGATGGTCCACCACAATAGAGCCCAAAATTTATGTTGCTAAGAGAGAAATTTGTTAAGCGAGTTTTGCCCCATTTTATGATTTTTCTTGCCAGATTTGTTAAGCGAATCACTGTACTTGTTAAATCAGTAACACGGTTGTTAAGCGAATGTAGCTTCCTCATTGACTTTGCTTGTCAGAAGGTTGCAATGTCCCTGGGACACTGCATCCGTCATAAATAAGTGTCAGTTGGCAAGAACCCCAATGGAATTCACGTGACCTTGGGGATGCTGCAACAGTCCTAAATGCGAGAAATGGTCCTAAGCCACATTTTTCAGTGCCTTTGTAACTTTAAACAGTCGCTAAGTGAACTGTTGTAACTTGAGAACTATCTGTATTCTGTATCTGTATTCCACTTACAAGGTAGAGAGTGATTTATGCAGTAAGAAAATGGTGTATAACTTCGATAAATAAATAAATCTAAAATGTGAAGATATACTCCCCCAAGTCCTTCTGAGGTAATCTGAACATTCTGCTTACATATTAAATATAAAACCAGCAACCATTGCAGCCAAAGAAAATCAAGGACAAGCAGAGAACTTCAGGTTTCAAAACCTACTGAAATATAAGCCACCAGGCTTGATGAAATGGGCAGGAGAGCAACATATGCCCAATTAATCTAACCAAATTGCTCTCAAGCAATACAAAGTCTGCAAAAATTAGCATTGGTTCAATAAAACATATTAAATATGGATGCCTCCTACTGTATGAATCTGATACTTCCAGTATTCAGCATCCTGTAAATATAACCACTGTGATCTAACCAACTTGCCTCTTTCAAAATAGATTTGAAACGGGATCTCCCTTTTTTGGCGATCTTAGGCTTTCTCAACGGCCCAAAGCGAGCTTCTATTCTCTTCTGCACCGTGCTGCTTTTCAGTTTGGGGAGGTCACCCTCCGTGACCAACACCAGATGGATCCCCATTAGTGTTAAAGAAGAGACACGGCAGTAAAGATTCCTGCAGTAAGAGAGTGAAGTGAAATAGCATATCTTATATTTCAATAAATAATCAATTTATTCCCATGCCTCACATTTTCTCCAAACCTATCAATATAAGGAAACTCCATGTATTTTTGGCTCCCATCCCTCAAAATAGTTATTTGGATTAGAAAACAATTGAAAAGGTAATCAACGACATGAGCCTGACAAAATTCTTGGAAGATGGTATGAGGTACTTTATGGCTCTTATTTAGTCACATTGCCTACCACACATCCTACCAGCATTTGCAGAGAAGGCCCAAGTCCAGGCTAACTGAGCATTAGCAGGTTCAGAATTCTTTTCCATGAGCACTCAAAAATTTTGTTCAGGACCTCTTACAGAGAAATGAATTCATTATACCCCAGACTGAAATTATACTATGCCTTATATTTTGTATTTTGTAAAGCCCCCAAGAGAAGTAACGTGTCATATGTTATATATCAGCAATTTATTAGCACAGGCACTGTACCTACCTAAGATGTGGGTTTGTGACTACTCCC